CTACTACTACTACATCGACTGCCACTACTAGTGCTAGTACTAGTACTAAGACTGCGACTACTACTCTATCCTACTTATCCTTATTCCTTATTAGAATATACTCCTACTCCCCCTCAGGCCGGCCATTAGGGGCCGCATCCGGGGGGTCCCATCCTAACCTGTAAAAAAACAATACAAAATCAACATTTTTCTTATTTTTTCCTCTCGACATGGACGTCCTGTCGTCCACGGCGATAATCCATTGCAAAAAATACAACAAAGAGCACACGCGCGCGTTCATGTCAGAATCCTACCGAACACCGTGTGTTTGCAAGCATTTCAACATAAAAACATCAAAAACCCAATGCTTTTTCACAAAAAATTGTACAAATTTCCCGCCCGGGCTCTCTTGCTGAAATCATAGGAAAACCATAGGAATCTTAAGAATTCGGTCAAATCCAGCGATTTCACGTCATCGCGCGGTGCACTCGCGATGCTCTGTCATGCACCCAGGCCGCGAATCCTGTGCAAAAAATACAACAAAGAGCACACTCGCGCGTTCATGTCAGAATCCTACCGAACACCGTGTGTTTGCAAGCATTTCAACATAAAAACATCAAAAACCCAATGCTTTTTCACAAAAATGCTTTGGGGTGTCCTGTCAGACCGTCGGGCTTCCTCCGGCCACCTCTGGCTTCCTGCGGTGTACCGGGCCATTCTCGACTCGTCTGGCAATGCGTGCGCGGCATTCAACACGCGCTCGCCAGTTCCCGTCGGCAACCGCCATCGCGGCCGCATCAGCTGTACCAAACCGGCTGGCCGGTGTGACTTCGGCCCCAGTTGTGCCAGCTTTGCTTCTTATGTTGTGGGAGGGCGGGCGGGACTGGGCATGCCATGCTTGACTCGCTCGAGCTGGCTAGCTTGACTCCTACTCCTACTCCTACTCCTTCCGTCTCTTGGGGTCGGGGAGGGGCTGGGGCAATTGTTGCCAGTATGCCTTCCCTCGGCTGCGCGCAGGAGTGACCCATCGCCAGAGTGACCTTTGGTGCGGGCACGCCGAGGCACGCCCAGAGCCTAGCCTGCGCGCTTGAATCCGACCCTCCCGCGGCCCCGCAAGGCGCGCACCTGATGTGACGCCTGCCCAGGGTCGCTCCCAGGCATCCAGCAAAGTGATGGTTTCGCAGCGTGGCTCCCAGAGGTCTGGGCCCCTTCCCCGAGACCGGCGTTGCATCCTCAGTCGTTTTTGTCACGGTCCCCGGGCCCAGTGAGGGCCCCCCTGGAGCCAAAAATTGGCAAAAGTGTTCCGTCGAGATTCTTTGGAGAGGATGTCAGGGCTCTTGCGTGTAGGCGATTCTCTTGCCAGGCTCCGTCACCTGGAGCTGAGCGCTTGCGACCACATATCCTCCTACGACACCCTGGTCCCCCTGTTCTCCGAGCACCCACGCCTGCTGTCTTTGCGGGCGACGACGGCCTGGGAAGAAATGGGAGGAGGAGAAAGGAGGTCGTCCGAGGGGAGGAGACGCGAGGGCGAACAACGCATGGCAGGTTGTGTAAACCAAGACCGAGAAGGGATGTGAGGAGGTGGGTGGAGACGTGCGCCCGGGTAGACGTGATAAGCATGCTTTCTGTTACAAGTACATAGTTGTGCATATGTTATTGCATGCTGCGCATAAACATATTCACATATCTATATATATATATATATGTATATATATAACCTATACCTATACCTATACCTATACCTATACGGCCACCCTCCGGGTGATAGGGAGGTTGGGTGGGGGGGAGAAGGGGGGGGAACCAACATCTGACTCAGTCGATCTCACTATCGATCTCATTCAACGGGACACCACGGGACACTTGACGATCTCATTACCAATCTCACCCAACGGGACTCCGAGGGACACCTCTCGATTTCATGATCGGTCTCACTATCGATCTCACTCAACGGGACACCTCGGGACACCACATCGATATCACTATCGATCCTACGATCGATCTCGCTTTCGATCTCACTCAACGGGACACCACGGGACACCTGTCGATCTCACTATCGTCTCACTTTTTGGGACACCTCGGGCACCACATCGATCTCACTATCGATCTCACTATCAATCTCACTCAACGGGACACCATAGGACACCACGGCCCGCCCACGCAGCTTCGCCTCGCCCGCACGCACGCACCGCACGCACGACACGAACCCGAAACCGAAATCGATTTCCCGGTAGAGGGGGGTATCCGTTTCACGTCGGTCCCACCCCCAAGCCTCCGATATATATATTTATACGACCACCCTGTAAGTGAAAAGGAGGTTGGGGGGCCAGCAATGGGCAAAAGTGGTGATTGTTGTTCTGACGATGCTTGCGGGGCGGAGTCTAGTGAGTAGTGCGATTGTGCACGTGAGCGTGATGTGATGTGGCGATGTTGGCGAAGCGCACTCGATGTTGTCGTGAAGCGCTGTCCACACGTGCGCTCATCAATCGCGCGAACCTCACCTCAGCGCTAGTCGACGTGGTCGAACGCGCGTGCTGCTTCGATGTGCATGTCGATTTGCATTGGAAAGCTCGCCGCGGCGCCGACGGCGCCTTACGATTTGCATGTGTATGCGCAAATCGATTTGCATTTCAATGTGTTTTCCTGTCTGCATGTCGGTTTGCATGCAGACTTGCATTGGATAGCTCGCCGCAAGCGGCGATGTTTTGAAGTGGGCAACCCACGGCGGGACACCGCGGGCCACCGTTTGACGGGAGGGACATCATTTGGTCCGGCCGGGGGGGGGACCCCAAGTGGAGGGTGAAAGGGCCCCACAGAAACCCTTTCGGGACATTTGGGGAGCCAGCTCGTGCCTAAGAGGGGCCCTGAAGTGCCCCGTTTAGGGCCTCCTTCTTCATCCCATATGTAGGCCACCCCCCATTATCGGGGGTGGACAGACCTCCTATCCTGACACGTCGATTAGCGAATTGGCCGTTTTCGGTTCGCGAGAGGGCGTCGCGGCCGTCATTTGTGCGGGTCCAGGTCGGTCGGCTTCGGTCCCAGGCGGTTTTCATTAAGGGAGGAGGTTTACTAAAGGGAGGTTTGTGCACCGCCGAATGTAGGCCACCCTCCATTACCACCCGCCCGATAGGGGTCCGTGTCACGAAGAGAGCGGGACGTTGGCAGAGAGGGCAGGCTGAAGGACATCGTGGGAACAGCGTCAGGGTTCATGTCCGCGCGAGGATGAGAGCTCATCACAGCCCTTCGCCCATGGCAAAGCACAGTCAAGACGCTGAAACAAGGACCGCCTTGGGCTCGTGAGGGGCTTTGGTTTTCGGGCCGCTCCTCATATCTAGGTCGGGGAACCTATTCATGGCCGAGGCTCGCCGTGGCCAGCAAGGCTCCTTCGCTCCTTCTCTCGCGCTCCTTCAGGCAGCACGACGACTGCCTTTGAGGAGAGCAGAACTCCCCATTCCCCAGCCAGGGCCCCCACTCCCGACCTGGTGCTCCAGGGCGCCCTGGCTGGGGCTGGGGGTGGCTGTTTGGCTGGGGCCTCGGTGGCTGTGCTGTCATCGGCAATTTGCCCCGCCAAGGCGACCTTCCACCCCAAGGCCGCCGCGGGAGCGCCCTTCTGCGAGGCCCTCCCCCGCACGCTGGCCGTGCTGGGCTTCGTGCGCTTCGAGCGGCCGGAGGCCGCTCCGCCTCCTCCGCCCCCCGCCGTCGCGCGGACGGCAGCGAGGGGGAGCCGGAGAGGCACACGGCAGGCGGGCGTCGTGTCGACCAGCGGCGACCCCCTTCCCTGGCGCGCGGAGCGCGCCAAGGGCGCCGCCGGAGGCGCCGCCGGGGGGCCCCAGCGCCGATCCGAGAGATCCGCGCGGACCTCCGAGTTGTTACGTTTGTGTCACTTGTTCTTCCCCTAGATAGGGGGGGGATGGGCACAGGGGGGGAGGCATCGGCCCCGAATCGCCCACTGATCGCCGAGAGGGGCCCGATAGCCCCAAGCTGCCCAGCAACGTGCGGATTCCCTCCCCGTCGCCGACGTGCCGGCGATGCGTCCTGGCTTCCCTATAAACCCACCAAAGCATGTTCTAAGAGCCTGTTGCGGTCTGCACGAACATTGTGAGATCCTTTCTGGCTGGGACCGTCTTGTTTGAACACATCGGGCTTATGTTCTGAGAACACTGCTTGTGTGATTTGAACACGTCTGGGTTCTGTGAGCACGCCGCGGTAGGCCCATAGGTGTTCCCGCTGTCGGTCCCCAGTTTCTCACCCCCCTCCATTACGCAACGCCCAACCTGGATGTTCTAGAGGCTCGTGCTCCAGAGCGTTCCTGAGAGCCCTCGGGAACCTCTCTTGCGACACGCCTCGAGAGCCATCGGGAGTCGCACAGACACCCGCGGATGCCAGGGCGGTCGGCCCCCGCCCAAACCCCAGCAGCGGCCACGATTTGCACGATCCGACGCTTCGGCAGCTGCCAGCGTCGGGAGAGCCCACGCCGAGGTCGGCACGGCGCGGGCCGCGGGAAGCGCGGGGAGAGCGAGGAGGGCTGCAGGCGAGGGGCCCGAGGAGGACCGCCCTGGACTGCCACCGCTCAGGAGGGGGAAAAAAAAAAAAACAGACACAATGAATCCTCGATCCCCCAGAAAAGATGGGAAAATATGGGAAGTGGGGGGAAGGCAGAGACCCAGAAAATGCGGGAAAGGATGGGGAATCTTTGGATTCGTGCGTATATTTTTGTGTGTGTGTGTGTGTGTGTGTGTGTGTGTGTGTGTGTGTGTGTGTGTGTGTGTGTGTGTGTGTGTGTGTGTGTGTGTGTGTGTGTGTTTGTGTCGTGTGTGTGTGTGTGTGTGT